ACGCGCTCCGTCGGACAGGGGTTAAAAGCTCTGTCAGGCGCCGACTTCGCCGCTGTCGTATTGTCGGGGGTATTTAACGGGGTTCGGCCCCGACGCGCGGCCGGGCGGCCACTGCTCCAACCCTCAGCTGAGATCTGTGAGGGAGACGTCGGAGGAGGGCAGCCCAGGAACTGGATCCTGCCCGTGGTCTGCTTCTAAACACTCCCCCCCCCCCCCCCCCCCCAGCCTCCGCTTTTTCTTTCTGGGATTTTCTGAGAACACAAAAAGGACTTTGCATCAATTACTGGTAGGAAAACGGCAGCGCCCCGCGGCAGAACTCCGCGCTCCCGGCCCGGGTTTGGTTAACTTCCCATTGTCTGATGGGCTCCACTATTCAGGGCCAGGGCAAGCGCTCAGTTTTTTCATCTACTGACGTTCTTTTAACCACCTTCAGAACATAAAACCTTCCTGCCTGTGTAGCAGAGGGTCTGGCAGTGCCTTTGAGGTGGCTGCAAAGAGTGGAGCGTGTCAGTATCTCCCTGCCCAGCACCCAAATCTCCTGTAATGGGTGCTCACAATGCATCTCCCCATGCTGAACTGCCTCCATCACCATCATCCCCCAATATGCTCCAGCACTGGCACCAGGTCCTGCTGCAAGCCCCATCCACTCTCCGTGGCCTCAGACTCTACACTGCTTTTTCCCTCCACCTCGGGGGACTGCGGGTCCCCTCAGCGGGGTGGAGGGACACGATTCGATCAGTACGGGGCACTGTGAGATCCCACGGGGCCGGGGGGCTATACAAATGCAAAGCGTCATTATTTTCCCGGGGCTGAAGCAGAGGCCTGAGAAAGGTTGAGTGAGAGAGGCAGCGAGCAGGGAACAGCGGGGGATTTAGCTCCTGAAAAGGAGCCAGGGAAAAAAGCGGGCGAAGCGTTTCATTGTGCGCTGGGCAGAGGGGGTCACGAGCAAGTTAAACTGGTTAATGTATTGGAGCAGCTTCCTCCGAGCTGCTGGGAGCAAGCAAAGCCCTGCAACAAAAGGCCGAGGGAGCATTCTTGCGGGGAAAGTGGGCTCTCTTTAAAAGGATTTGATTTCTTTTCTGTCAGTTGAATGGAATTTGGTGGTGACTCCTCCAGGTCTAAGAATTTGGGGCTTTGGTGGTGGTGGTGGCGGGTGGGGACAGTCCCTGTCTCCCCCTCCCTGCTCCTGCATTTTTCTCCATCTCCAAGCCCACTGCCCCCAGATTACAGCCCCCGACGTTGCAGGGGGAGAGGAGCTGGGGGAACACAGGCGGCCCCGTAGACACTCTGATCCTGAAAGAAAGCGAGGGGCACGGGGCCATCCCTGCCCAGCCTGGTTTCTCATGCTCCCTATTCAGTCCAGGGGAGGAGAGGTAGATGTGGAAAGAGGGGAGGCTGGTGGGGCATCTGCCACTGATTTAATGCCTCTCTTAGCGCTTCACAGTCGAGGTGGATCTCAGGGGAGTTTCGGCAGTGTAAGGTGTACAAGGGGAGCTTTCCAATTCTTCCTTTGGGGTATGAAATCGTGATGTTAAAACCGTGGAATGAAGGTAAAAACATGAGGGAAACTGAGCCTGAACTAGCAAAACTAGCTGGATATAACCCCACTTTCCCGCAGCCTGTGCATCTCTCTTCTCCCAACAGGAGCTCATGGGGCAGATGAAGACTGTCCTCGCAGACCTGGCTTTCCCACCCCAAAATCCCTGGGCTGGTGGGCAGGACAACCTCCTCTTCATGGGTACACCTGCTGGACCATGGAGGGGGGGGACACTGCTGCCAAACAGGAATGCTGAGCTGGATGCCTGGGATGCTGGACTGGATGTGGTTGTCTCCGGCTGCAGGTCTCTCATTTGGTGTTGACCCTGAGAGAAAACTAGGGAGCTTTAGAGCTGTCCTGGGCTGGAGACTTGCTCTCACACACTGCTTAGACTAACCGGCAGAGTGGGCTTGGGGTGGTATAAGACAGCAATTAATTAAGCAGAGTTTAAATGTCTTGTAACCCTGCATTGCATGAGCGACTGCAGAGCCAGAGCTTCAGCAGTGCTCAGTTAGTGGGACTGACAGGCAGAGATGAGTGTGGCTTCTACTGACTGTTCATCTCACCTCAATTTCCCAGGAGGTGACGTTGGCAGAGACCCCAAGGTCCCTGTCCTCTGGACTGCTGCCTGTTTGAGAGACTCCCTTATGGGCTGGGCATGCAGTCTGTACATGTTGGTCTGTATGTGTCTGTCTGTACAGGCCAGGCCAGAGCATAACAAGCTGAGATCACAGTTTGCTGCAGATGATGGACAGGCTGTCCCAAGCTCCTTCCAGAGGTGTGGTCAGCAGAGCCTGCACCTCCTGGCCTTTAACTTTTGGCCTCTTATTCTTTCTGGCCCCAAATTTCTTCATGTTCCCATTGTGAGCTGTCCCTCTCCCCAATGCCTTTCTGAAGAGGAGCCAGAAGCTGATGTCAGGGGAAGCATTTAATGATTACCCCAAGGAGGAGGCATGAATCAAATCTCATACTGGGTTGGACTGAACTGGACAAAGGCCCAGTGAACCCAATATCCAGTCTCCAGCAACAGCAGAACTGGAGTATAAGGAACAGTAACCAAATGCAGGCAGGCAGGCTGCTCCCAGAGCCCATCCCAGCCAAACCCTGTGCTGTGTTTGGCAGCCACTGCTGTGGATCCTGTGCAAAGGGAGAGAAGGAAGAACCAAGGAAGGCAGAAAGCAGGAGCACGTGAGGTCAGGCCCTGAAACACTGCACAGCAGCCCAGTTTAGGGCAGAGCCCAGCTGTGCCCAGCTGTGCCAGCAACCACGGGAAAGAGCAATGCTTGGACTTTCTGTGCTGGGGACAGCTCTGGTGCTGCATCAGGGGACTGAGACAAGCCCAAGGTGGCTTCTTGCCTCTGGGGTTCCCTTCCAGTCTTAATAATTCCCTAATTTTTCACCTGCCTTAATAATTGCCTAAATTTTCTTTTTTAAGGTCCATGTCTGATGCAGTGGTCAGTCCCCACTCCGTGATGGGACATTGGCCACTCTTTTCCTGCCACAGCTACCTACAAGTCCAGGTGTCCAAAACCTCCTAGGGAGAGAGAGATGTGGAGAGGATCAGGGGTGCATTTTAACTCCCTGTGCAGACCTGAGCATCTGAGTGCCTGCAGCTGGCCCTGGAGCACTGATAGGTCCTGCAGCTGACACTCTCTGCATCTGAACCAGATCAAATACATGTCACCCTGGCCCTGCAACACTCCTGCCAAGACTGTTTCAAAAAGTTGGTTGCCCCCAGGAAATTTGACTTCCCTCTGGGCCCCCACAGCTTCTTGGATTCTTCCTTGACCCTGGAGAGTCTCGATTAAGCTGCTGAGTGGTTTTTCAAAGGTAGAAGAGTGAGTCATTATTCACACACAGCTTCCCCCAACTTTCCTTGGTGTGTCCCAAAAGCCCCTTCCCCACTGCACCCCCGGGAAATTGTTTGTTCCCCTCTCATTCCCCCTGCAAAAGGGATTAGAAGCAACAGTTCATTTTTCATGTGATGCTAGTTTAAATAGGAATTTCACTGCTCTGGCTTTGCCTGGTTTCTGGGAGCTGAAGCTGAGAGAGGATGGTATTAGTGCTGTGCGAGGCGGGAGAAGGAGGAGGGAGGTGGGAGCTGAAAGGGGGAAAGGCAGGGGGGACGTGCGGGGGTGAAGATGGGATTAAAACATCCCATTAGAATTTCTGTTTTTGGAAAGCTCACAAAAATGTTGACATGTAGCATGACTAACATAGTGCAAATGTCAGCCCAGCGCTGCGAACGGGGGCCCTTGCTCTCCTCCCAACACACTGGCCCCCTTTTAAGGCAAAAATATACAATGAGTCGCACAATGGCTGAATTCCAGAGAGCAGCGCTAATTGTTCCGCGCTCACGTAGGGCTAATTGCTTTGCTGAAACCATTCGTGCCTGGCCTGGATCCCACGTGTTTTTAACATTTAATTAGGACAGAAAAGCTGGGGCCAGGAAATGGGATGAGATAAAGACAGGCAGAGATGGAGGACAGGTCGGGTGCCCTAACCTGGAGAGGAGACGTGCTATGTGTGCTCCATGGGTGAGGGAACAATCCCTGCTCCGCATCAGCCTCCAGCAGGATTGAAGCTGTGCAGACACCTGGGATAGGAGCAGGAGACTGGGACGGCTGTTGAAACTGGTGAGACCAGCTGTGAGGTGGAGAAATGCTGCCAGCAACAAATATTTGCAAGAAACACCTTCATCCAGCTGCTCAGTGACTGCTCCAAGGCTCATGGACACAACATGTGTGCGCAGCTCTTCACCTGGTGCTATAATTAGAAAATCTGTACACTTGCAGACCGTGTGCAAACCATGATCAGGACTCAGAGATGGGAACAATAGATGGGCAGGAAATGCCTTTTCATGGCTGCTCATTGTCTTCCACCTTCTGGGGGAACTGGAAGTTTAACTATAGTCTTCCTCTTTCAGGTATTCCTGTAAAGCTTCGTCCTCCAAGGATGCGCCTGGACCAGAGCATCGTCTGGCGCTGGGCTCCATTGTGCTCAGGAATGTGCATGTGTTTTTCCCCTTGAATAGCTCCTCTGAGACTGCAGCGACCCAGAAACACTGCAGGGCCCCAGCACCTCCCCTCTGGGGGAGAGGGGTTTGCTAAGGGGTGCCACTGTCTTCTCCCCCAAGGACCAGCACAGCATCTCTGCTGCCTCTCACCTCATCGCTGTGCTGCAGGTGATGTCAACCCCCCTGCTGTAAACAGGGGTGGGTGCACAGGGTTTAATATTAACAACTTCTTTGCTTTCTCCCCATCCACCTTACAGAGCTCTGCTTGCTCTACAGCATCCTCTGGGAAGCCTTCATCCATGCCATGCAGCTCCCTAGGCAGGGAAAGCCACTTAATATACATGATCTAGCTCTGTAGTACAGCATCTGGCTGGACCTTGATGGAGCTGATCTGTAACTCCTGGAGCCATGCATACAGCTGGGGATTCCTCCACTGCCCATCTACACATCTTCCTTTGATGACAGCACCAGCAAGAAGCCACCAGTCTTCCTCTCTCCCAAGCCTGTACCACCTCTCATCCCCCCAACAGGTGCTTTTAGGGTCACTGCAATGCAATTTGCACTTGGCAAGTTTAATTGCTTGGTGGCCTCTGTGTCAGAACAGCTCTTGGCCTTATAAGCAGTATTATAAGCTGTACCCTGGAGGGTCTGGGCACTCAGCACAATCATTTCAGATCAGTGTGAAAAGATTGTCACACAGTTCAAAGCGCAAATCTCCAAGTGAACCTGGCTCCAGCCCCCACTGACTGTAGAACAGCCCCGGGAGCTCTGCTGGGCTGTCACTCCTGTGTGGGCAGAGAAGCTGAGACATCTGTGGCTGGAAGTGTTTTCTTCCAGCTGCCCCATAGGTGAGGCATGTGCTTGGACTCCTCCTCCCAAAATTGGGGTCTCAGCTTTCAGGTCTCCTGAGAACAGGAATCATTTTTCCCAACTGCAGATGAAGGAGGAATTTGCCACACAGAGCTCAACCATAAGCAGATAAGTAAACCACTAAAAACAGGAAACCCAAACTTCAAAATTCTCCAGAAAATCTGCAATTCCCTGTCCCAGTATAAAAAGGATGATCTTCTCTTTGTGTTTCCATGAAAGCCATAAGAGCACACCCATACCCTGAGGACAAGGATGTGATCAAACACTGGAATTTACAACAGCAATTTATTCAGACGAAAGGCTGCAGGTGAAAAGCACTGATACTAAAACAAGAGAGAGAGAATTCTTCATAGATGCAAATGCGATACTTGTAAGTCAATATTTGCTCTTTCAATATTGGCACATGCAGCAACCGTTTTCCAACATGAATAGGTTTCAGCACAGCTGCTCCAGGATCATGTTGTTTAGAAGCATTCAGATTCAATTCTTAAACTTCATTAAAATTGTGGTTTTTAAAAGCCTTTAGGGAGCTAAGAGTCTTTTATGACAAGTCCTTCTAGCCATTGAAATCCACCAGTGCCAAGGGGTGGCCTCATGGTAGCTAACCAAGAACAGATGATCCCTTTGGGAAGAGAATGTTTAAACCCCTAAAACATAGACAAGCCAGAACAAATCCATGTGGCAATAAGAGAGTTGAGAACAATTCTCCTCAGATCAGTCAGTCACAGACAAACCCTCAGATGATGTTTAGTCTGGGACTAACCTCCCACCACATGCCACCCCACCCATGCATGTTTCCAGCTCCATACATGTGCTGGAACATCACATCAGGATACCCAGTTCTGGTCTCTCAGTGAGTTCCTTTGAAGCTGCTGTCATGTGTGTATGAGCAGGGTGCCTGGAAAGCCCAGGTAACATTAGAACATGCTGGCCATGTGTACTGCAACCCAATGTCCCTGCCCACACACAGAGCCCAGCAGGGAACTCCACAGCCAAGAGATATGGAATGATGCTCACAGCACCCAGAGAGGTCAAAAGCCTTTCTTCAGAGCTGGTATTATTTACACAAAAGAGATTAAAAATATTGAAATTTAATTCTCCTATCTGGAAGAGGAGAAAACAATCCATTTTATCCCTGCACTGGGTGCTCTGGGAGCAGCAGTCCCAGTTTTTGAGGTACCCTGGGACTCATGGACAGCCTGTGTTGCCTGTTATCCTGCTGTAACAAGACGAGCCAAGAAGCAAGCAAGTGTTCTGTAGGCTGGGAAACTAAGATGTGTTGGAGAACTGTGCAGTACCTCTGCATACCACTGGGAGAAAGTTTAGGCCAGTGATCATCGTCAAAATCTGGGAGCAAAACGAGGAAACTCCTTATTCCTGTTCCCCATGGCTCATTAAGGTTTCCATCAGGAAGGGTGGAGGCGATGCATTTTGTACTCTTGGAAGGGACTCGACGTCCTCGACAGACCGACTGCTCCTCTCGTTGCTGCAGAACAGCCACTGTCCTTTGTCCCCTCAGGGTCCCCTTTGTCCCCCATTCCCTGAACTTGAAGGACCCCATCTAAGGATGTGGTCAAGAAAATTTCTTTTGGGTTTATTTCAAGTGTTGCCCAGTTAGAGAATTAACTACAATCTCCATCTAGGAATAGCATCCTGCACAGGGGTTGCCCACTCAGGTGGAGAAAGGACATACTTAAATAGTTACCCTGGTTTTTACAGTCAGAATGACATGGCTTTTATTCTGGAATAAGCTGGTTGCTGGCTGCTCATCTGGAAGAGGGTGCAGGGAGCGTGCCAAGCCCACGGAGGGGATGCAGCCACCTGCCCCATAGGAAGTGGGCTGGGATCCAGCACACACCGCTGGACAGGCACCCGGCAGCACGGCATCCTCCACTACCGACCTGGGCTGCAGTCAAACTGGCAGCTGAGAGGGAAGAGGAAACCATATTCTATCGTTATCTCTCACCTTGCTTCCCTTTCGTAATAACCCCATCCCTTTGCAGAACAGAAAAACACACCGGGGCTTTGCAGGGGCTGCAGGAGCCCACGAGCTGAGCAGTGGCCAGCGAGGGCTGGAGCTTCCCTCGGCAGGAGCTGTGCACAGACAAGCTGTCATTTCCCCAAACTGGGTCAAATGTAAAAGAGAAGAGCTCAGGGAACAGCAAGACTTTGTTTCCAGCTCGATCCCAGCCTCTGCAAAATGGGATGCTGTTGCAGAGGGGTTTTCTTCAGGAGGTAGGACTGCGCTCCTGCAGGTGCTCTGTCCCAAGCCTTGGAACCCCGCAACGCCACCTCATCACTTTTACCAGGGTCATGTACTATAAATGCCCAGGGGTATGAATCAGAAATGTGTGGGGAAAGACAGACTAAGCTCCCAAGATGGCTGTCGTTGTGCTCTCCCCTTGCACTGTATGACAGTCCCATTTCTTTTTGGTTTAAGCTGCTGAAGTCTCAGTGCCTGGTCTAACAGAGTGCCTGTGTCAGCTCTGCCCACCCTGACCCGCTCATGTGGCTCCTGTGCCGGCTCTCAGGGGTGACAGAGGCCATTTCTCTGGTTTTCACATGAGCTGGTTTCACGTTTGTTTTTCTTTCAAACTTGAGGCTTTGCAGATATTAAAATATAATCCAGGAAGAATTTGCTTTGTGAGGGAAGAGTGTGGGATCACGGAGGGGAGAGGGGTCAGCGGGGGAGCGCAGGGAGGTGGGGGTGGCAAAAAGATTTTCATTTCCCCTTTATGTCCCATTGGGATCGAAGTTTTTACTTCCCTGCAAACAATAGTGGCCAATATGGGACAAGTTAGAGACTTTGGGAGACTCCAGGCTCCCCCAAGCTGGGAATTTCTGTTCGCAGCAGAAATTTTATGCACTGCCTATGAAGAGGTCAGAAGAAAAGATGCAGGTGGTGAGACCTGGAGAATATGGCTGGCACTGTGGAAAAATGAGCAGAAAGGAGAGAAGAAAACATCTTTCCTAGTACTGAGTTGTTGTTCTACATTAAAAAAAAAATCAAACAAATACAATTTGAGTTATGGGTAAACAGAGGAACTGGGCAGGCAGGACAGGAAGGCAGGGCCCCGTCAGAGCCCTGCACCATGCAGGGAGATAAACAAAAATCCTAGAAATGTGGAGAGAGGCTTAAGGTGATTGCTCAATGCACGAGGAAATATGGAGCAAAAGCCAGATATCAGGGAGAGGAAGCTGGAAAAGGGCAGGCTGATAGGAGCCATGAGGTCAGCACTGCAAAAATAGTGCAGGAAGGCTTCCCGGAGGCACTGAGTCCGTAGAACATTCATGTCCCTGCTGATCCTCCTGCCTTAGATGCACAGGTGGCAAGGGATTACTAGCCTGATATTGGCTTAAAATTGCCCAGTGGTGGTGAGTTCAGTCCATCAGAGGCTCCTTAGCTGCAAATCTCACTTCACAGCACCTGCAGCTGAGCTTTATTTCCAAGAGAGCACTTTCAGATTGATGCGGCTCCGTCAGCAAAGCCCCGCTGAGCTGCCCTTGCTGAGGCCATCACCCAAGAAGCATGAGGAACGAGCGGCTGCATCCACTCAAACCAGCCATTTTTCTTGAATGAGCGTATGACTGGCCCTGTCTCGCTGTCAGAGCGAGTGTGAGACAGACAGACTGCCCTCCCGCTCGGGTTTGGTCTCCAGGCTCCCTGCGTGGTGAGCTCATCCCCTCTGGACTGCGAGGCACACTGCTGGGAGCACAGCCAGCTGACCCACGGCCCCGACAGCACTGGCAGCACGGTTTGTTTGGGTTCCTGATATGCCAGGGGTCTCGAGGCTTGTTTTGAGTTCAGCTCAGTTTGGTGGTTTTGATGGATTCTGCCTTTCTGGTCTGTTCACAAGCAGTTGGACATTCATAACAATCTTGCTCTAAGACAAACAGCATCCATAAATCTCTGGTTGAAGCCAAGGCAATCTTGACTTTCATTACTCTGTGTTGTCCCCTCAGCCCTTTGAACCCCCAGTGCCCTTACAAGCATGGAAGCCTTAATCAATGTCCTATCAAAAGGAGCAGAATAAATCTTGTTATCTTGTGAGACAAGGTCACACTCCCTGTGTGGCCGTCTGGCAATAGATGGGGTTGTTCCTTGGGTTGTCTTCTCCTTGCAGGAAATCTCCCATCGACTCTTCTAAGCATGAACCTCCGTGTGCCTCCAAAATGCAGTTTCAGCAGTTGTCTATGCTATGGTTTGTTCAGTGGGTCACTGCTAAAAGCAGAGGACTTCCCATGATGATCCATTCTACCAATCCACCCTGCTCCGAGGAGACAGTATGACATGCTTCCAGCTTTGCTCCCAGGATCTCACAAAGGATCTCCCATTAGGATTCTACAAAGTATTGAGTAACTTCTCCAGTTTCTTTGAAATATGACTGTTCTTTTCAGTTGCCTTTAGAAGAAGGGATCCTGAAGCATTACAGTCCCTTGTGCTTGGACAGATTTGTTTCTCTAGCTCATCTGCCCTCTGCTCCTGCTGCTCTGCCTTCTCCTATGTTCCCAGTGAGTTGTTAAAAGATTGCACCAAAGCCTGACAAAACCCACCTCTAACATCAGTGACTTTGGGTCAGAGCTTGAATTCATAGAAAAACTCCTTTTCCTGCCCCATTTCCCTGGCTGGACCTGCTGCTGGGGCCAATGTCCCTGGGCTGCCGGGGTCAAGGATAGCCATGCTGACATAAACATGCATTTTTAGCTGATTTTCCCTTCCACCCTCAGGCAGGGAAGAGAATGGGGACGTTCTGTGGCTGCTTGAAGAAGATACACAGCTAATAGTGACCGCATCCGTGACAATGTTTATTTGCATTTCCAGAAAGTCTTTGATAAAGCCTGGCTCCTGCCTGTGCTGCTCAAGCTCCAGGGACTTTGAGAATGC